TATATATATATACTAGTTTTGGTGCGTTATATATTTATTTATTTTTACATAGTGTCATTGGTGTTCTTGTGTGTGAGTGTGTGTGTACTTGCTTGAAAACTGCAAAGTCGAAATACGACAACAAATAACTCGTTAAATCCGATGAAAACCCCCCTTGTGAGATGGATTTTTTGAACTGACTGAACAATCGTTTTCAACGAAGCTGAAAAGTGCGCGCGATGCGATGCTCGTGAAGTGAATTGGTAATTCCGTGATCTCCGTGAAAAAAATTCGAATTTGCCCCCCTGAATGGGCGGATGGGCCGGGCGATGTCTTCACTAGGTAAGAGACATTTGGGAGAACTGAAAGATTATTGAATTGATAAATAACAATCTTCAATGCTGTTGTTCTTTCTCCTTGAACGTAATGTGATGATGCATCCATCTAACCTTACGGACGAACCGAACGCGCGCCATTTCCAACCATTCCCGGTTCACTTTTTTTTTTTGCTTTTCATTTCCTTCTTCCGTTCGTTTTTGTTATCTTAGGCGTAATCATTATTCGGGTGTTCGGTTTCTTTTCCGTGTATTGCATGAACTCTCTTGTTTGTCGAACGTGAAAGTACAAAACTTTCACTTTGAAAAGAGCGCGCGAATATGCGCGTCGTTCGTTCATTTGTTTGTTAGTTAGTTGGTTAGTTACTAGCTGACGATACCGGAAGCGCGCGCGTCCATCCTACTAATCAGGAAGTGTTGTTGTTGCTCAGACCCCCTCCCTCATTTTCCCGTCTCGCGCGAATAGAACACATCCATCCAATTCGACTGTACACTTTTTCTTTTATTTCTTTCCCGCGCTCACTCACTCTCGCACACTCACTTACTTAGTGTACATTATCCCCCCATACGGATTTATATCGCGGGTCATTAACATTTCAACTTTCTCCGTGGATTATATAAATCGCACTTTTTCCTTATACTTCTCCTCCTCCACCGCTACCTTCACTCCTCTTCTCTCCGTACAACGATATGCCGTTTCTTTTTCTAAATTTTTCTTTCTTATTCTCAATAATTTGACGTTTTCCATCTAATTTTTGACGTAGATGTCACTAGTTTGACGTTTTCCTTCTGATTTTTACTATTGATGTCACTAGTTTGACGTTTTTCCATCTATTATTACTTTGTATGATGTCACTAGTTTGACGTTTTCCTTCTGATTATTACTATTGTTATTGATGTCACTAGTTTGACGTTTTCCTTCTGATTATTACTATTGATGTCATTAGTTTGACGTTTTACATCTGATTATTACTATTGTTATTGATGTCACTAGTTTGACGTTTTCCATCTGATTATTACTATTGTTATTGATGTCACTAGTTTGACGTTTTCCTTCTGATTATTACTATTGATGTCATTAGTTTGACGTTTTACATCTGATTATTACTATTGTTATTGATGTCATTAGTTTGACGTTTTCCATCTATTATTACTATTGTTATTGATGTCATTAGTTTGACGTTTTCCATCTAATTATTACTATTGTTATTGATGTCAGTAATTAGACGTATGCAAAGTAACGCGGAAAACGTTCGCACTTCGCGTGCGATTCAAACAAAACCAAGATGAAATTTGTTTTCAAAGTTTCGTCATGGCGACCGCCGCCTTCTCTTCGTCTCGTTGCGCAACTGCAGGAAATCGACTGTTGCTGCGAGAAATGACAAAAAACTAAACCATTTGCAAACTTTTCTTAGAGATTTTCCATTACCATTACCATTTCTCCAACAAAACAAAAAAAAATAGATCAAAAAAAAAACAGATCCGAAACGCAAATGTCTTAGTCTCGTTGTACGCAACCTGTTGCGATACGAACCCTTTAACCTCTTGGGGATGGGGGATGTAAAACCACCATAATTTTCCTTCCGCTTTGCCATCTATTATCTTTCGAATGAACCGCGAAATAACGTCTTCTTTTTTTTGTTCATCCATCTAATATTGGTCATCGTTTAGAATTACGCAACACTGCGGAAATGATGGTCGACATTTTCTATGTTATTATTATTATTAATATTATTTTTTTCTTATTGTTTCGATTCGAACGTTACAACCAAATATTGAACGCGGAAGAGAAAGTATAGGAAATTAAGCGAAGCGAAATATTGCTATTCGTTTTTTTTTTCTTTGCGCTGGTCGCATCGCATTAAAATGGCACAGAGTAGCTGCACTCAGTGACCATGGTTACGATGGTAACTATGGTTACGATTTTCGGATCGAAACATTGTTATATTGTCGTCACTAATTAATGCGTCTGCAGATGCGAACGCATCAAACGACAACGATTAATTGAAAACAATATGCGTTGTTTGATGTTGTTTCATCTATATGCATCTATATTGCATCTAGAGTTTGCTGTCGTCGCGTCGTTCCTGCATTTCGTTGTCATATGACTTCGACTTTACGGTATATTGTTATTAATTGATGTGTCCGCAAATGAGCAGTTGCAAATATATATATATTAAATTCTATAATATAAATCTATAATATAATCTTAATGAAAAGTAAAAGAGACACAGTATAAATTCGTATAGCAAATGACCTATTTCAAACGAAGAAAAAGAGAGTGAGAGTGTTGTTGTGAGTGAAGGAAAGAGAGAGATAGAGAGGTATTATCTATTTTCAACTGAGGCAGAGATTCGAAGATCACGCAGAACGTGAGGAATTTTAGAATGAAATGAAGAGAGTTCCGTTAGATCGCGATAGCTCTGCAAAACAGATCAAAAGAAAAAAAGAGAGGAAAGAATGAAGGTGTTAAACTACTTTCCAAAAGTGCCGCATCCTCCTCCGATGTTTCATCTTGTTTGTTGGTTTTTTTTTAAATCCGTTATTCCTGATGGCAATGAATTTTTATTTGGAGCGAGAGTTACGCGAGTTTACTCGCCGATTAAATCATTCTACGACTTTCTCTTCGAACAACAACTCGACGCTATTGTTTTGTTCTCTCTTTCGTTCGCTTAAAAAATAATTCTAATAATTGTCGATATGTTTTAAATGGAGAGAATTGATTGGTAAAGCAAAAGTTATCTATAGTAAGAATGAGTGCAAGTTCTTACTGCGACAATAGTATTTGGGTCAGTTTGTCAGCGAGTTAAGTTCGTCGATGCATTTGCAGTAGATTCCAGTAGAAAGGCACAGACCGACCGATCTAAGTACGAAGGCAGGGAACGAGAACGTCCTTGCCACAATGCGAATAGAACGAACTTGTCTTGTCTACTATTATTATCATCGTTTACTGATAGTTATTGTTGTTCCAGGAATTATGACCCTTACGCGCACACCGTGTGAGCTCGACAAGATGAGCCTTTTCCAAGACCTGAAGCTAAAGAGAAGAAAAGTAGATTCACGCTGCAGCAGTGACGGTAAGTGATAGTTGCCGGATGTTTTTAAAACACAGTAGTTGGATGTGTGTGTTTGTGTGCAGTAGATGTGCGAGCAGAAAGTCTTAATTTTAGGCATTAAATGTATCCACTTCCAGGCGAATCGGTCGCCGATACAAGCACTTCTTCGCCAGATCTGGTGAGCCCGTCGTCACCGAAGATGTCTGACGTCGTCGGTCCGACTCCTCCGAGTCCGGATTCGACGCCACCATCCTCTTTAACGCGTCAACAACAACAACAACACCATCACCACCACCATCATCATCAACATCAACAACACCACCAGCAGCACCACCACCACCATCAGCAGCAGGATAACTCGATGATGACGTCGGCGACGACGGCTGTTGCGATCACCACCTCGACGACAACGACGACCTCGGATCTAGCATCGAGTCGGCTGCAAGAGTCGGGTGTCTTTGATGGTGGAGGAGGAGGTGGAAGCACCACCAGCGTGATAAGGTTGCTTCCTGTTTCGCGTGCCCAGAGTCCGCCTGTCCGGCCTGCTCCAGCGACAAGCCCGGCGCAGCCACCCAGACCGCACAGTTCGCCCGGAAGACCGGCAAACAGCAGCCCCATCGTGCGGCAAAGTCCACTCATTATCACCCCACCAACCGTCAGTCAGGTATGCATTCACTCACTCACTAACCCTACCTCCACACTCAATTGCACGCTCCACGTTACCGAGTTTGTTTGCTTCACTAATTGCAGGTGCTGCCGGTAACACAACATCACCATCATCAACAGCAACAACAGCATCATCATCATCAACAGCAGCAGCAGCAACAGCAAGCGACGTCACCGAGGCCGATGGGAGGCGTTATATCGAGCCAACAGGCTGCGGTCATACAGAATCAACTGTGGCTGCAGAACTCGCGGATAAACGGCGTCAAACCCGAACTGATCGGAGGCAATTTTAGCAATTCCGTTCTGCTCGACATCAAACCGACGGTGCAGGTGCAGGGAGGAGTAGGCGGAAATGTTGTAGCTACAGCAGCAGGAGCAGGAAACGGAGGTGGTGGAAACACCAGGTCGAATGCGAGCGGCGCTCCTCTCCGACAGACGCCCACCGTGATCATGGGCGAGGCGGGCGGAGTGCGCACGATGATCTGGTCGCAGCCGACGACGCCGCTGCCGCAGACGACGACCATCATAGAACCGCAAATCTATGCGGCGACGACGTCCACGTGGAGCAACAGCAGCAACTCGAATATGTCGACGGGGACGAACCCCGAAGAGAGCGCCGCACAGATGCTCCTCAACTTGGGACAAGACAACAGATCCTCGTCAGGTAGACAGATGGGGACGGCGACATCAGCTGCAACCGGCAGAACGGCGATGCATCATCATCAACACGTCTCCTCGATCAGATCACCGACGTCGACGTCCTCCTCTTCATCTTCGTCGGCGGCTGTAGCGGCAGCAGCTGCTGCAGTTGCTGCGGCCGTCGCAAACACGACATTCACGAATGTGCCTCTGAACATGGAAAGGCTCTGGGCCGGCGATCTTACGCAGTTGCCCGCCAATCAGGCCCTCAATCTGACCTCCTCCTCGAACTCACCCAATCACGGCGGTGCCAACGTCATGTATTCGACAACCTCCAAGCAGCAACAGCAACAGCAGGATTCTAGCGGTGTTTCCAAGCTACTTCCCGGTATCATGAACGATTCGGGTGGTGTTGGTGGAGGCGCCGGGTCGGTGGTACACGACGCTACCGATGATGACGACCAACCGATGATCTGCATGATCTGCGAAGATAAAGCCACAGGTCTTCATTACGGCATCATCACCTGCGAGGGATGCAAGGGTTTCTTCAAGCGAACCGTGCAGAATCGACGAGTCTACACGTGCGTCGCGGATGGAAACTGCGAGATCACGAAAGCCCAACGCAACCGGTGCCAGTATTGCCGTTTCAAAAAGTGCATCGAGCAGGGCATGGTTCTTCAAGGTAAGCAATCAACAACACGATTACAAATTTATTATTATTATTATTGTGATTGCAAATTTATAGCCGTGCGTGAGGATCGGATGCCTGGAGGCAGGAACAGCGGTGCTGTCTATAACCTGTACAAGGTCAAATACAAGAAGCACAAGAAGGCGGCCAACAAGCAGACACAGCAACAGCATCTTCAGCAGCAGCAGCAGCAACAACAGCAGCAGTTGCAGCAGAAGAGTCTCGGCGAGAAGGCCGCGATGTTGGCGACTTCGGTGAAGCTGGAGCAGGCGGCTAACATTCCCTCGCACCTGGTGAACGGCACCATCCTGAAGACGGCCCTCACCAATCCCAGTGAGGTCGTTCATCTGAGGCAGAGGTTGGACACCGCCGTGAGCAGTTCTCGTGACCGCCACTACTCGACAGATTACACGCTCTCGATGATACAGACGCTGATAGACTGTGATGAATTCCAAGATATCGCCACCCTGCAGAACCTCGACGATCTGCTCGACCACAAATCCGATCTGAGCGAGAAACTCTGCCAGATCGGCGATTCGATCGTCTACAAGCTGGTGCAGTGGACGAAACGACTTCCTTTTTACCTGGAGTTACCCGTCGAGGTTCACACCCGTCTCCTTACCCACAAATGGCACGAACTGCTCGTCCTCACCACGTCCGCCTATCAAGCGATCCACGGACAACAGCACCATAATCAACACCAACACCATAATCACCATCACCATAGTAAGCAGCAATCCGTCGATCAGCAGCAAGTCACCACCGAACCGGACTTTACGCAAGAGGTAGTAAATTTTCTGCTTTGTTTTATTTTACTTTACATCTTTTTCATTTTGCACGTTCGTCAACAATAACAGGTCACCACGAATCTGTGCACCCTGCAGAACTGCCTGACTTCGATGATGGGAAGGCAGATCACGATGGACCAGCTGCGTCAGGACGTCGGTCTGATGGTCGAGAAGATCACCCACGTCACGCTCATGTTCAGACGGATCAAGCTATCCATGGAGGAATACGTGTGCCTTAAAGTCATCACCATGCTTAATCAAGGTACAATTCAATTGTTCATTGCGATCTTCTCAATTTCTTAATGTTTACCTTTCTTTCTTTTTTTGTTTATTTGAATGTGCAGCGAGACCTGGTGGAGGCGCCGGTGCGACAGAACTGGAGAATATACAGGAGAGATACATGGCATGTCTGAGGGTTTACACCCAACATATCTGTCCACAGCAACCATCTAGGTTTCAGGAGTTACTAGTTCGATTACCTGAAGTAAGTGCACTTAAATGAACAAGCTAGACACAAACAAACACACATACACATATTACTCCCACTCACTCACTCTCTATTTAACACGTGCCACGTCTTCTTCTGTTTTCAGGTACAATCGGCAGCCGCTCTACTACTTGAAAGCAAAATGTTTTATGTTCCTTTCCTCCTAAATTCAGCAATTCAAAGATAGTACTAATGCGTTTTGTATATCATCTTCATCATTATCATCTCTTCACCAACATCATCGTTATTTCTATTATTATTACAACAACAACAACAACTATTATTACCATTATTATTATCATCATCGCTACTATTCTTCTCAAAACACGAAACAAAACCGAAGCGAATCATCAACTTTGACGGATCGACGTACGTACTTCACAGGTGTTTTTGTTATCTTTATATTTTTGTTTAAATAGCCCTCTCTTCTTCATTTTTTTTTTAATTATTATTATTATTTAAAATACATACACACACACACACATAAACACACACGCGCGCCTGCATATATATATTATCATTATTATTATAAATATTTTATAACGTATTTTTTGTTTTACATATTTTATTGAACTTATAAATGGATATATTTATATACAAATATATATATATACATACATACATTAACAAATGACGCGCGCATAACCTAAAAAAAGAAGTTTTACGAAGAATTATTGAATTATATAAATATATATATATTAAATAAATTTAAAAAAAAACGGAAGAAAAAAAATATGGAAAGATCTATATAGTATTTTTAAGTGATGTACATAAACTAGGCATAATATTTTATTATTATTATTATCATTATTATTATTATTACATATAAGTAAATAAATAAATAATTGACTTTATACAACAAGAGATATACTTGGAAATGAAAAAAAAAAGTAACCATTATTAATTAATTGCATACATTTCTTTGCTTTTTTTTTTAAAAAAAGATATGTTTTTTATTTCATTTCATTCAAACCAGAAATCTGTTTTATTTTGTTGTATTTTTTTTATTATTATTAATTTCTTGATATAATTTCAACATATATTTATTATATTTACCATATAAATATATACAAACACATTTTTTGTTTCTTTTTTTTTCGTTGTTTCAAGTACGTATGTAATTATTGATATATATATAAAAAACAAAAGAATAAACATATTAGCAAAGAAAGAAAGAAAGAAAATGTATGTGTTTGTATATTTATATATGCAATAACCAACAAAACAAAAGTCCAACAAGAAAGAGTTACCATTTTGTTTTTATTTTACACATTCTACAAATGTTATTACTTGATATTTTTTAATATATTATTATTATTATTTTTTATTTCCTGTTTGCTTTTCGTCTCTTTTTCTTTTTCACATTTCTCTCTCTCTCTCTCTCTCTCTTTTACACATGCACATACATACACACATTTATGTCTTTTTCCATTATTTCGTTATTATTATTTTCTCTCTCTCTTTTTCTCTGTATCGGTTTCAATTGTTTGGGTTTCATGTGAAAATACATATTTAAAAAAGAAATTATATGTTACATGAAGAAGAAAAGATAAATATAAATGAAATGAATAATTGTATTCGGAGCATTTCCGAAACGAAAGTCTGAGTGTGTTGCCTTTTTATGCGTATTCGCAATACGCGTCGCCGTTGAATTTGACTGGAAACAAAACAAAAAAACAAAATATAATAAAATCGGAAGAACGCCGCTGCCAACTCTGTATTTCCAATGTTTACTAAAAACAATCTTCCATTCATTCATTGTGATTAACTTTCTTCTTTTACTACAACTTACTACTAACATTCTTCGAGAAGCTTGATCAGATTTTTGTCATCTTAATCTAGAAGTCTATGAATGAATGAAAGAGTCGGTGAAGTTCGGCGGCGACGCAACGGTTTTTGCAATACGTCATATTCTTATACATAGATGTAGCGTGTAGTCTATAGGATCGTACGTAAAATGCGTAAAAACCAAAAGAAAAAGAAGTAAAAAACAATTGCGTTTTATTTTTATGACAAGAAAACGAAAAAAAAAACAATTGATGAAGACTAAGTAAAATATTATTACACTTTACATATATATATATATTGTATAGAAAACAAAAACGAGACAAACGCGAACGGCAAACAAATGATAAACAATTAATTAATTAGACTGTTTTTTTTTTAAATAAGTAGGCTAGGTAGAGGAACCTTTGAGAAAAGACTAATTAAAAAAAAACAAAACTATTTATTTCATCGGAAGCTTCGAGTTGTCAATCAAACTTTCATCGTTACACGCATATTCGATATTCGCGTCACCAGTTTGTTTGTTTTTGTTTTTCTGATACCCATCTAGTGTCATCTCTGTGCATCTTTTGTTTTCAGTCTTATTTCTTTCTCTTCTGTTTTCATAGGCTCGGAATAAGGGCTCTTTGATATTTGCAGTTACCACGTGTACAAAAAAAAATAATGTTATATATATATATGTGTGTGTATATAAATATATGTTAACGTTCCTCGTTTAATTTACACTATGTACACTTTCGTTCGAACGTTTAAGGAAGAGGGATAGAAAGTGAAACAACGCAATCTCGACGCACTCCTTTCGTTAAAGCAGGAAGAAGTAGGCAATTGTTTTATAATACGAAGGGGTAGGTGGAGGAAGGTGATGATGAGAGATCGACTATATTTTTTATTATGTAATCAAGTTCATGGTGTAGTTTGTAAAACTGTAATTTTTGTATGCGTCTAAAAGCTACCTGATGTTGTTTAGTCCCAACTTATGCATTTCTTCTGTTACGAAACAAACAATAACACACGTACACACACACATAAACACATTTATAAGAAAAAGAAAAGGAAAGCAACGCAAATGAATAGAAAGAGTAAATAAACATGTACTTACATTTCCTAATACTATTACTACTATTACTATTATTATCATTTTTATATTTTATTGTATATTATTATTATTATTATTATTGTATATTACTATTGTTATTCTTGCTACTGCTATGATTTCCCACCTTACGAAATGTAAAATATTGCGACAATTGCATTACTTACTTCATCATCTTCGTTCGTTCATGAAAACGTACTTTATTATTAATAGACTGAATGAAAAACAAACGAAACAAAAACAAAACTGCGACATCGTTTGTTTTTGTTTTCTTCCCCTATGTGGGGGGGATCCATTCGAAAACGCAAATCGACTTTCCGTTATTTAATTAATTAGTTTACTATATATTTGTATACACTTATGTTTTTTTTTTTGTCGCAAATCTCTTCCTCTTTCTTCTCCACTTCCTTCTATCTTTTGTCTTTTACTCTGTCTCTTCTTTTTTCCTGATTCTTTTCGTTCAATTTTAGTTCATTTTAATTGTCTAGCATATAGAATTTATTGAGTTACCGTTATTATTATAAGAAAAGTTTATCAAATTTTAAGATTATTATAAAATACAAGAGCTTGTGTATAAATAAAGACTAAAAAATTAAAACGTTTCATTTTGCTTGTTCATTTACGTACGTTTTTTGTCTCCTTTTCTGCGATGATGCGTTTTTATCGCACCGAATCAATATTTTTGAACTTTTGAACTTTTAAATCAAGACGCCGTTGCGCTGCGCCATCTGCAGATAAACGCTGAATACGTAACGTGAAATGTGGATTGTAGCGCCATCTGATGGGATTATGGCTGTCGTCGCAGGTGAAGTTCGTGCGATGATGCTGTCTGCTGCGGCTGTCAAAAAGAACGGTTGAGTTGAAGAAGAAACAGCAGCAGAAGAAGAAAGTAAAAAAAAGAAAGTGAGTGAAGAAGGTTGTTGTGGGTGAAGAACTGCTGGCCAAACACGGTGATATATTCAAGTGGTTGGTGGTAGACGAACGCCAATTGGAGAAAAAAAGAAACCGAATTCGAAGCATTTCGTCGGTGGATTTAAATTGCTGGTGTATCGCAATTCTGCAGCAGTTGCAGCTAGGAAGGAGGAAGTTTCGTTTTTCTTTTTAGTTTTGTTGTCTTCGTCTTCGTTTGTTTATTTTTTTTGGTGCGATAATTGTGGTTCAGTCTGAATATGGCAGACCTGGATAGTTGGATTGAAATAGCGATGGAATGCAAGTATCTGCCGGAGAACGATCTGAAGAAACTGTGCGACATCGTCAGCGACATCCTGCTGGAAGAGTCTAATGTGCAGCCGGTCTCCACGCCTGTCACGATATGCGGAGACATCCACGGACAGGTGGGTGTTGTTTTTGCAATCATCTTGTTCTAAACATGATTGTCAACATCATTTCAGTTCTACGATTTGGAGGAGCTGTTCCGCTGCGGTGGACAAGTGCCAGATACCAACTACATCTTCCTGGGTGACTTTGTGGACCGGGGCTACTACAGCCTGGAGACTTTCACCCGTCTGCTCACCCTCAAAGCCAAGTACCCCAACAAAATTACCTTGCTGAGAGGCAACCATGAGAGCAGACAAATCACGCAGGTGTATGGATTCTACGACGAGTGCTTGACCAAGTACGGCAACGTGAATGCATGGAAGTATTGCTGCAACGTCTTCGATCTGCTCACTGTCGCTGCTGTAAGTCCTCTCTACTGATAGTACAAGTGTTGTTTTTCATGACTACATGTAATATGTATTCTCTTGTAGCTCGTGGACGAGCAAATTTTGTGTGTCCACGGAGGATTGAGCCCCGACATCAAGACCGTCGATCAAATTAGATGCTTGGAGAGGAACCAGGAGATTCCGCACAAGGGTGCATTCTGTGATCTGGTGTGGTCGGATCCGGAAGATCTGAATGGATGGTTCGTCGTCCAACTTTACGAGTCTCTTGCGTTATTGACACTTTTTTTTGTGCTTCGTTTCTCAGGTCCACGAGTCCCAGAGGCGCCGGTTTCCTGTTCGGTGCGAATGTTACGCACGACTTTATGCAGATAAACGGATTATCCTTGATATGCAGAGCCCATCAGTTGGTGCATGAAGGTATTGTTGTTGTTATAAGCATAGAATTAGTTTTTTTTTTTGGCTATAAGACTTGGTGTTGTCTTCATTCACCGAACGAGAGTGATCGATGTTTCACGATGATTTGTTTATCGCAGGCTACAAATACATGTTCGATCAGCAATTGGTGACAGTGTGGTCGGCTCCAAATTATTGTTACCGTTGCGGAAACATTGCGAGCATCCTCGAGTTCCAATCGACGTTCAAGATGGAGCCGAAGCTTTTCAATGCAGTTCCTGATGCGGAACGTGTCATACCTAGTCGGACAGTGATACCCTACTTTTTATAAATTAATTAATTAATATTAATAATAATGTTTGTAGTTTTTAAATTTTTACATATACATCTACACAACACATACTACACACACATTACAAAACGTGCATACATATTATATTTACTAGTATCGTAATAATACGTGTGTGTCTGTCTCTGTGTCGGCCAGACGCCAGCCTTGTTGTCTGCTATTTCCTATTCGAATCCTTTATAATATTTTTTGTTATTGATAACGTTACTTCTTTCCATATTATTGTTATAGAGTGAAATATGAAAACCATTGAAGCTAGTCTCTGCAGAAATACGAGTGGTGATTGATGCATTAAATTTTTTTAAAAAAATAATATATATTTATATATGTGTATCGTTGGATAATATTTCAACAAACACACAACAAAAAAAAATGAATATTAGTAATTATAGTTTACATACTTATGTGTGTATGTCAGAGAGAGAAAGAAAATAATTAAAATATAAGAAATAATAATGATTGGTAGTAAAGTTAGTTGGAGGAAGGTTCGTCCTCGAAGACGAGAGTGCTTCGGCAAAGCGGGCAAGCCATCTTCTTGTCGTTGTACGTGTCCAGGGTTTTATTCACGCCGAATTGATTATTGCAGTTCATGCATTTGTAGAGATTGAGCTCCTCGGGCGGTTTATTCTCGATGATCGTATTCAATGTGTCCTGCAACCGTTGAAGTTCCTCTAAGTCCTCGAAAATGTACTGCCTCTGCTTCCCGTCACTCTTGTACGTGTCGAAGTGCACCTGCAGACAATCGTCACCGAGTCGTTCGCAATGCAGCACCGTCTCCGACTGCCACCTTCCGCGCTCCTTGCCGTTGTCCGATTCTCGTTCGATAATGTGCGTGCTGGTGACGATAACGAACACCGGATCGCTCTGCCCCTTGATCGTTACCAAATAAAGGCTCTCCTCGCCTTCACCCAAATCCTCCTCTTCGTCGTCATCATCTGGATAATCATCGTCATTCTCTTCGTCCTTTTCCAAATTCTGCGTTTCGTCGTCTGCGTAACCGTCGGTCGCCGTTTCGTAAAGCAGGTTGCCCTCCTCAGCGGAAACGTAAACCTCGGCGGATGTCTCTATCTTTGTGCTGCAGTTGCTGCTTTTATCTGCTGCCCGTGCCGAAGTCGATTGTCTGCCGTAAAGGAGACCACCGTCTCGCTGCGGATGCATCAGGTCTGCCTTGATAAGGATGTCGGCCGAGCCGTAAGGCGTCGACATTTTCGGAAAGGACAACTTGTCCATGCCGAGCACGTCCTGGACGAGGGAGCCCGCTTGATCGTACAGCCACTTCTCGCCGTACTGCTCCCTCAGCTGCTCGATCTGCTTCTTAGTCTCCAGATGTTCGAACGACGTGACGAGCGACGAAACCGAGGCTAAGCTCTCGTTTCCGACGATATCACGCTGCTCTTCGTGTTCTCCGTCGATCATGCCCTCCGACGCACCGGGCATGATCGTCGCGTTCCTTGCCGTTGCCGTCTTTCGCGGTCTGCTGCCGTCGCGTTCTCCATCGACCGCTGTCTTTCGAATCGTAGTCGATGTTGGGATGCGACGCGGATGCAACGATCCTACAAGCTTGCGTTCTGTCTTCGAAAGACCTCTACCGTCGAACACGAAACGTACCGTCGCCGTATTCAAATGGAGACAGCTGGCAGTCTTGGCGCGGTGCTGGGGATGGAAACTCAGCGGATTTCCAGACAGGTTGAGCCATTGCAGCGTCGCGAGATTGGCCAACGGCACCAGCGATTTGTGCTCTATCAAACAGTTCTCGCTCAGGTCCAGCTCCGAGAGGTTCAGCAAGGACGATACCCCGTTCAAATCCTCGATGAAATTGTTTCGCAATATTAATATCTGAAATAAACAAATCATTTCATTTTCAACATTACTACTACTAGTTACACCTTACCTGCAACCTGTTGCACAGCTGTCCACCAAACGACGGTACAGCCGTCAGCTTGTTGTAGCCCAGATTGAGATGCTTCAAATTGTCCAAACAGTTCAGGGGCTTCGCATCCTGAATTACGTTGTGACTCAGATCGAGTACCCTCAGCTGAGGCGCTAACGCTATGCTCTCATCGATGGAACGTAATCCGTTGTGACTGAAATTCGCTTCCTTCAGGTTCAACCAGTTCGCCCCTGGGATGTTCATGTTATCGGCGCCGCATCTCTGCAGGACGTCGGACAGCTCACAAATGCTCCTCGAACAATTCAATTGCTGCAACTTGCAGCGTAACCTCTTCAATCCCACGACGACACCGACGACGTCGATCTTGCACAGCTCGAGCATCTGCAGATCCTTGAATCTGTCGAGATGGACGAGCGACTGACGTCGTCCTCCTCCCTCTGCTTCCGCCGCGACGTCAGCTGTTACCTTCAGACGTCGCGTAAACTGCACAAAGTCGTGCAGGAACATTCGATCCGCGACCAGTGTTTCGGACGAGGCTGATCTTCCTCCAGGTCCCGTCAACACATTGAACGACGACGAGCCGTGCATCTTCATCATCATCGTCTGTGGACCATCATCGCCGTCGTCGTTGATGAGTATATCGAAAGAATCGTTCAGCAACTGCAGCAGATCCGCACTCAAAATCATTTTGCTCGTTCCGTTCAGAATTCGATCACCGTGATTCCTCAACACATCCGCCAACCTCTCTATTCGCGTGTTCTCCTCCATATCGCATCAACAAGAAAAACAATAACAATTACGACTGCTACAATAGCACAATTCTAGACATCGACGAAGACACCACCAACACGTCAATGTCAATATCATATGTTTTCCTTTGTTATTGTTTACAATTCTTTCAGCGACAACTTCAGCTGGCTGCTCTACAATCATCCACCCATTACCTAAAGATTGGATCACTTTTTTGTACATCCATGATGTGCAAAATATACAATACAATAAAGAAATAATTATAGATATAGTTGTACATATATCTTCCAATGTTGGTGCAAATAAATATTGTATGAAAAGTGTCGTCACACGTTACTCAGATATGGGTATGCAACACAATATACACTATTCATTTGGTTCATAAAGAACGATATATTGAATTATTTCATCAACTGCACAGTGTTCTATTATCGTACATTTACTGACGACACACAATTGTGACGACGACAATCTGCGTACACATTCACGATGTTGACCAATTCGAACTTGACGATGTATAAATATAATCAGCTGATGTGTAAACAAAGTGGAGCAAACACGTTATCATCATCGTTAGGGCTATTATCTATTATTGTTATTATTTATCTCAGGTATGTAGGTCTCGTACTAATGTCAAACATTGAAATGTACTTTGAATTTACATGACGAATCTGAAATTGTCATTGTTTTTTTTAGGCCAAAAGCGCGAGCGATAAGTGGGGTGGGGAGAGGAGAGGGATTGGGTGATTTCAGCCAAGAAAATAATAACAGCTGCCGTCAGTCCGTCCGTCCCTAGGATGTCGAGATCTAAGGAATCAGATGAGAAGTCGAACTGCAGTCGTACTCAATTTGTATTGTAGTGCTTATCGATGTCAGATTACGGAGCAGAGGAGTCTTGGCGGTATGTACGAAATTGTTGCGACGTTGGATTTGAAATTGAAAGCGTAATGATGATGATGCAGAGAATCCTGCGACAGCAGTGACGTCATGCAGAAGGAGCTGGAAGATCTGGCGAAACTGTTGCGGGCAGACGGAACTCATGTCCTTGATGACACTTGCAAACTTTCGCTCTCCGCGTCACTACTCCGCAAAATCAATAACAGGTCGAACATTCTGCAGCAGCAACAGCGACGCTGGCGTCGTGAGATGCCCAGCGCCGATTTCCTGTGCGATTTCATGCGACGCACCCGCGCCTTAAAGCTGTGCGATGACGACTGTCACGGTTCAAACGACGAAGGCGATGAGGAATTCGTCGACCTGCGGCTCTTCGACAACTTGCGACTGCTCGAGTTACATCGACTCAGTGTGTTGACCGTCAAGGGTCTGGAAGCGTTGCGGTCGCAGATCGAGTACGTCAAGTGCGTGCGGAGCGTGAACGGCGGCGGTGTTGGTGGTGGATTGCAGGAGATGCTCGAAGGCTGCGGTGCTGACAAGGCCACTGGTTACGCTTGGCGCGCACTCCGCGGGGCTGTCTTCAGACACAACCGTTTGGTAAAACTGGACGGAAGCTTGCGACTCGCGCCCCACCTCGAATCGCTGGACGTCAGCTACAATCGCATCGGCGACAACATCGGACCGCTTATTTGCCTGCCGAAATTGAAGCACCTCAATCTCGCCAACAACCGTATCGCCTCTCTGAAGACGCTAAGACTTACCGTCGATCTGCAAGTCCTCATATTACGGAACAACCTGATCGACGACATAGAGCAGCTCTCTGGACTCGACGGTCTCCGTGAGCTGGACCTCCGTTGCAACTGCCTCTGGGATTTCGATTCGCTCCTGCCACTCTCAAAAATGCCGTCCTTGCGTCGTCTGTCTCTTCTCGGGAATCCTCTCAGCTGCGATCCCAACTACCGCTCGAAGACCTGCCGCTATCTCAATGTGAGCCGCATACGCACTTTGTCATCACCACCGCCTGACGATGACGTCCTGCTGCTCGACGATCTTCGTCTTAATGAACAAGAGCTACAGAATATAGGCAGCTATGTGCCAACGATACCGTCCTCTTCAAGTCAATCGCAATGCGTTGAACAAGCATTTGATGATGATGATGATATAACTGCGGAGGAACACGAGGAGAGTTCCGTTCTCGGTGGCGGCAGATTGCGCGCGGCTCTTCTGCTCGATCTGCAGATTCAGATGCAGGACAGCGGTTTCGTGGCCGATCAGAGACCCGTGTCGCCCTCACAAAGTATCGGTAAGGATAACAATAGACGCTCGCTCGCGCCTTCACTTTCTTATATTCACGTTGCACGCAGGATCTGTCGGATCATTGATGCTCGAGCACGAGCCACTGATGCTTAGGACGAACCGATATTCCGGAAGCGACATTGAAATTTTAAGTAATCCGAGCCAAAGCAGCATAGAGGTTCTGCAGCAGCCTATGGTGGCCATCCCACCGAACCATCTACAGAGACAACATTTCTCGTGACTCGTCTTTCCTCTGCGCTTTTCCTTCCACCGGTGTTCAAATCCTCTCACCATATAACGAAAACAACTTTCAACCACGTAACCGCTCTTGTGTCTACACCATCTTTATTTATATCATTTACTTACTACGTGAGAAAGAAAGAGGACTGAACAGGCAATAATTATCGAGCCAGCCTTAATATTGTACCTTGTCTATTATTATACATCATGTTTACAAAAATGTATTTTTTTTCATTTCCCATATAATAAGTAAATCGAGTCTTCTACAAATCACAGGTTAGATTACGTTAGGTTAGGTTTTCGAACGATAATTTTTTTTTTCAACATTGAACACGAATTGCAAGAAAATGACAATGGTTACAATTCGAACAATAAGAATCTGTTGAAGCCTGAAACTAAATTAGAGTACTCAAACCAGGGGGACCAAATTTCTACAATAACATTTTCGGTTAGCTTGGGTTAAGTTAAGCGTCGATGATGTAATTATCTTAAGGGGTTGTGCAAAACTATCGCTAAGTATACGCGCAGTTCCGGAATGATACGAGGTCTCTTCTAACACCCTTGTACTGAATCGGTGAGACTCCGATTTGAAAGCTGTAGTCTTCTCACATGTTATCCCCTGATCTCGATAACTCAGGATAGTTTAGATCAGTGATTCCCAAAGTGGTCTATATCTAAAGTGGTCTATAAGTTTGGGAACCTCTGGTTTAGATAAATCTTCAATTAATAAAACCAGTGCCTGGGCAAATTGTGTAATATGCGCATGCCATATGAAGTGTGTGTGTAGTGGAAAAGAGAAGAATTATTTTAACATTTATTGCTTCAATATTGCTGCATATTTGATAATTAGTTCATTGTAAATAGATGCAATTTATAATTTATGATAGATACAATTGAATATCTAGTTTGATTGATGTTTGTACGCGTCTACACTGAGGGATAATGATTGGTGTTGAGTTGGTTGCCTAAAGTCACGATCGAATTGCAATTTTAATCACGCATAGTTAAACAATTGAATGCGTTTGAAATCGATGGTTTACGGAAAATATTGAAATAGAAAATCGATGCCGGCGGTCATTTCTATCGCGCGTTTGCTTACATAACGAGAAATTAGTAATTATTGTTGGACGCGCAAAAGAATTTATCGCTTCAGTTGTTACCGTGTTCAGTTGAATGAATACGTACCGGTTACCGCTTACAAGTATAGCTGATTGTATGCAAAATAGAAACAGAAGAAAATCAATTAACGATTCTTTCGAAGTAAATCAAGAAGTCTTTGGTAGAAAACAATAGAGCAATCATATCTGCGCCGCGGAAAAAGGTAATTAGTTTTTTGTTTTGTTTTTGGAATGATTGCATGTGTTTACCGGTTGACGAGACGATTGATGGATGGATGGATGGATGATTTAGTCTTGCCGGAGTTAATAAACTTTCCCAACGCGAATGCACGTGTATTTATACATACGCGCGTTACATGTGTTTAAAATCAGATCGACGGAGAGTAAATGTTTGGAACGGCCGACTGTAAACAATTTACAAGCGGGAAAATTTATTATTAAATGACGCAAACACATAATAGTAATAACCGAGTGTGTATGTATGTAAAATATAAATATAAAGATTATAGTAATAGTTGCAAACAAGTACTGATGCCTGAATATCCGATATTAATTAGAGTACTCAAACTTGTAATTAGCGCAATTGGTTGTCGAGTTATTATAGCACAAAACGTGAATATACTGGATTTTCGAACTTTAAATAAAAAAATTCAACTTTGAACACGAATTGTAGAAAAACGATAATAGTTACAATTCTAGCTAAAAGAACATATTAAAACTTGATTATCTGAGATTAATTTGCCTTAACAAACTTATAATTAGCGTGTGCGGTTGTCGAGTTATACTACAAAACTCGATGAAAGATTTTTCAAACTGAAGCAAGTAGAAACGAACGAACGTTCATCGCAAATTCGTCCGTTTGTTGGAATTCGAGACGGAACGACTTTTATTATCAACTAGACCTTGTGGAAAATTCGCATTTCCATTCAGCCGTTGTTTCGCTTTATGTATTTATTTTTAACTGCTCCTGGATTATCCAAGAACCGAGATACATACACATAACAAACACTCCAAAGAGAAAAGAAAAAAATTTGAGAGAAACAGAACAAAATTCTATTTTTATCTAACGTTTCAATTCGCGCTAATTCATATACATTCGCTTAACGTCTAAACGTTCACCGCATTATTACTAATCAGTTTGCAACATCGTAATTAATTTCATACAACAACAACTATAAAAAACACAGTCCATTATTTTACGTATAAGAAAAAATATTGTTTTTACCAATTATTAATAATTGAAACGAGATTCCAAACAAAATCAATGAATGAATTCCACTCGTTTTCACTCGTTTCTAATTTTAGTGTCAATTATGTTCGATCGACATGGCACAAACTTCTAAACACAACAATGTTTCTGAACGCGTCGTATATTTAATATTAATATCAAAGTCTTCGTAAACGTAAAACAAAGATAATACACTGGAACCTCGCTTAACGAGTTTAATCCGGATTTTTATTCGTATAAACATATACAAAAATACACATAATATGTGTACACAAGTTTTAAAAATGATGTAGCACGCGTGCAATCCGGGACTTCTCTTCTCATCTTCACTCGTTATGAGAAACGTCGCTCGTTAAGCGAATCATTTTTTCTTACAATTCATTTAAGCAAGATTCCACTGTAAAAGTAATAATAATTCAAAGAACGATTGTTTTTCTTTTGTTTCGATTCTGTTTTATTTAATTGGATTCGATTTTGTTTCTTTCTAAAAATAAACAAATGCTGCGCTGCGATGAATCATACGAAAAATTTATTATATATTTTTTTTTTCTTCTTCAAATTTGGTACGTAAATTCACTTTAATTCGTCTTTTGTTTCAGGGTCGTGTGTTTTGTTAATTGCATGTCTCAATTTGTTGTTGCTAATAAACAAAACGTTGCGTATTATATTACCAACATCGAAACAACGAATCGCTTAAATTAACTTCTGTGTGTTTGTGTGTGTATATTATAAGTTATAATCTCGCCGTTATCAAATTATGACTTTACGACGAGTCATTTACGTATCCGCCCGCTGATAAAACAATTGCGAACAGAGCCGTAACTCAACGCAACACTACATTATTAAAACTTACGTTTAACACTATTACAGCAGCATATCAGGAAAAAAAAAACACTAGTAGCAGCAACAAAACAATACAGAAGAATTCGAAGAATGCGCCCGTGAAGACATCGCTTGTGTCTTATTCATTTTCTTAATGTCAAACTGACAACTGATAATATTACTAATTACAGTTGTTTTTGTTTTGTTTTCTCCACTGTTGCTAAGGCCATTTGATGTATGTTTTTTTGTGTTCAATTAAAATTTGTATTGTACTAATTGGAATTAATAATAATGACATTAATTAGACTACTCAAATTTGGAAATAGCGCAATTGGTTATCGAGGTATAGCTTAAAACGTGAAAACACTGGATATTCAAACGTTTTTTCAACTTTGAATGCGAATTACAGGAAAATGATAATAGTTACTAATCTAGAAGTATGCACTTATTGTAGCCTAAATATCTGAGATTAATTACACTACTCAAACTTGTAATTAGAGCAATTGGTTGTCGAGTTAGAACCCAAAACGTGAAAACACTGGATTTTCGAACGTTTTTCAACTTTGAATGCGAATTACAGGAAAATGATAATAGTTACTAATCTAGAAGTATGCACATATTGTAGCCTAAATATCTGAGATTAATTACACTACTCAAACTTGTAATTAGAGCAATTGGTTGTCGAGTTAGAGCCCAAAACGTGAAAACACTGGATTTTCAAACGTTTTTTCAACTTTGAATGCGAATTACAGGAAAATGATAATAGTTACTAATCTAGAAGTATCCACATATTGTAGCCTAAATATCTGAGATTAATTACACTACTCAAACAAGTAATTAGTGTAATTGGTTGTCGAGTTAGAACCCAAAACACTGGTTTTTTTAACGTTTTTTCAACTTTGAATGAGAATTACAGG